AGAAGTCTCATTGCTCCTCTCGTTGGATACTTATATGATGACTAGGCATATCTAGGGTTATGTAAAAAATTTCAGACTGCTAAGTCTAGCGCTCGATTTTAATCTCGTATACGTCTTAACTGGTAGTGTGAGTTATACATAGTCGTCTTTAGTGCTTGAATATACAGTCTTTTAGTAAGTTGTCTCGAAAAAACACACTTCATTACGCGCTGCAGCACATGTAGCTCTGCAAGCTAAGTACGATTATTTCAATTACAATTGCCGATTCTGCTTTCAAAAAGACAAAAATTTTGAATTACATCGTGCGACTATGCAACAACCCGATTTTTCTTTTCTGCAAAAAGAACATTTTTCTTCCTTCCTTCCTTTCTCTCTTTCTTTTATTGTATAGTATATGACAGTAAATAAAAACAAAATATGACAAAAGAAAAAATTTCAAAACCGCTTCAGTCTATATAGACGAGAAAAACTTTTTCTTCGTGTTAATTTTTTGTAGCATCACTATTCCATTGCTTGGGAATTTCTGTGTTTCGGAAGAAAACCATGCAATTATTAGAAATAAAATCTGATATAAACTGTAAAGCTTCAGGCACTGCATTATGTGGTCATTAAATCCAATTGTATTTCATATAGAAAATCTGGTACAGCAGAAATGTGAGATTAAAACAGAACCCTAGGTTTAAAAGTCTGAAATTTTGAACATGACCCTTGATATATCTGGGCATTATAGCAGTATAGTTAGTTTTCGTTCAAGCCTGTTAGGAACGTCAAATAAAAAGACTTTTATAGCACCCTATGTATAGAGCGAGAAATGAAAAAAATGTTGTGTTTACGGGTAAGAAATTTACATTTTTGTCCCTATATCTTTGTTCACTTTTTATGAGTCCTGTATTCTCTTTTTTATGATTTCTTTGTTATCTTTTTTATGGTTTCGGTATTCTCTTTTCTATGATTTCTTTCACTTATTTGCCGGCTAAAGAATGGGTGAACGGTGATACCGATGTATATTTGACGATTACGGTAAAAGAATGAGTGTGGATCCCGAGAATGCTTTTACCAACACCAGCACCCTCACCCTCAAACAATTACACCTAAAGCAGTGTCTTTAGTTTGAATGTCAGCTTTGAAAAATCCTTTAGAAAAGCTGCGCTAAAATCACTTGCCTATACTTTATAAATGTACACATACACACACACACACACGATGTCTTAGACATGCTTTTCATTAGCATCGTAATATATAGAGTACATCTTCGTATGATTGCTAAAGAATCCTTATGATATTATGTGCATATGATAATTATATCAAAAACTATTAAAGCAGACGACAAGAGTTATTCATATAGTCAAACGAAATTCTCATAATGGTCCGAGTGATTCGCGTCGAAAGCTATCGATCACATCGTAGCTCATATTCAAACAAACATAGTTATCGAAGCACTGTAATTAGTTAGACTTTTATTTTGATTCTCAAAGTCATTTCTACCTATAGAAAGTACGAAAGACGAGAAGTTCTCGTACAACACGAATCTCACCAACCAGTGATGACCGAATATTGATTGACAATACCGCTTCCACGAAATCAATATCAATCCCACCGAATGGCACTCCGTCAGAATACAAAAGATCACAGGTGGAAGATTCTCCGATGCATTCTCATACGGAATTTCACCATCGTGAATATATTGACAAAGAGTGTATGCCACGAGTCAGTGATACTATTTCAAGTAGTGCTGTAACCACGTCATGTATCAGTTATGATATAATTAAAGAGCGTCCAACCAGATTAACTAATCACTATCAATTCGTTAATGATTATCAATGGATGGCTTATAAATATCCGAAAGAAAAAGAGAAATCGAAACGGCGGCGGCGTCGTCGGCGTGGGGGATTTTTTGCATTTTGTTGTCCGTGTTGTTCGCCTTGTTGTTGCTTAACGATAGGTCTTATCTTGGGTTTGCTTCTTGTCGGTCTGGCAATACTAATTGCTTTGCTAATAATTATGAAACAACACTCTACCACAACGACAAGTATATCTTTTCCATTTATTCTCAGTTTTTGTTGTTCATTAATTTACTGTAATTTAGCGACGTCCACATCAACATCATCATCAAGTACTAGCACATCCAGTACATCCAGCACAAGTTTGTAGAGAGTGAGTATATAGATATATGAGTTTTGTCGATTTTTTGTAGGTACATCCACAACGTCGGACACTACAACTACATCAGGTAAAAGGATAAAATATGGAACCTTTGTATTTTGTTAAATTGCCGGTATCTGGTTAGAAACAACAAGTTCCACTAGTACAACGAGCAGTAAGCCAGAATATACCTGGAAGTTTTATATTTTTACTTTAATGCTATCTCATGACTAGCGTCTACAGCAACGACAAGCACTACAGCTACTACGGAGACGACCACTTCAGTAACGACGACGACAATAGGCACTTCAGTAACAACAACGACAGCAGCTTCTACGATCTGTAAGTTGGTGTTTCACTATAAAGATCATGTGACTTGTCTTTGTCTTTGCTTTCAGCGATTCCTCACAATTCATGCACATCATCTTGGCAAAGTGTTACCGTGGCTTATCATTGTACTACCTGCTCCGATGTAGATCCTTATGTACAGTATACGTCGACTTACGTAGCCATAGCAAGTACAACTCGTATTTCATTTGCTCTTCGTGAAGATAGCGGCTGCTTCGCGCTTGATAATGTTTCTGTTAAGCAAAATTCTTCACCTGGTACCGAACTTCTTAGTAATCCAGGTTTTGAAACAGGTACTTTTCCAGGATGGAGTTACTGTAATCCATACGGAATCACATGGGGTGGCCAAATCAAATCGAACTCAGCCTATTTTTCAAACATGGGCTATACGTATACTTCCAAAAGTGGCTCCTATTATTATGTCAATTGTGGAGTAGGAAACGTTGATTATCTCTATCAGACATTTCCTACAACTATCGGTGAAACTTATACAATATCTTTTTGGTTATACAACCATGGCGATCAAAGCTACCCAAGCAGTGTTGATGTATGGTTGAGTATTTAAAATAGATCTTGGAGTAAATGTTACCTTATACTTCAAAGGAGAACGCTCATTTTTCTTAGCTAGAATGAATAAAGATTAGCTGATACCGTATATTTTTCTTATTCTATACGACAACACAGTGTTTAGTTTTTTGTTCAACGTAGCTTCCTCAAAAGTATATATAATATCGGTGGGGGCACATATTAATGTCCATGCATAGATATCGGTAATGTGAAAGTGGCTTACTTAAGCTGTATTATTATTTGTGCGCTACTGACAAAAGCATAGAGATATGAAATGGGGAATAACTAAATATACGAGATATTTGTATATCAGTGATATCATAATAGGATAAGTATTACTAAGAAAAATAAACATGTGTGAAATAAATTGCTCCGGTCTCTCTCATTATAACGTATGTGTGAAATACCCATACATGTAAAGTTCGAAATTTGCATTCAATTGAAGATACAAACTTCAATTGAAACACTTAATTCAATTGAAAAACTAAGTTTCAATTGAAAAAGCATATTTCAATTGAAGATTCGTGTTGAATATTTCCAAATAAATATTTCAATTGAAATCTTCAATTGAAAAGATAAGTTTCAATTGAAAAAGGATATTTATTTTTGCAATAACGTCTTCAATTGAAATCTTCAATTGAAAAGATAGGGTGTGGGTGAGGGTGTGGGTGTGGGTGAGAGTGTGGGGTGTGGGTGTGGGTGAGGGTGTGGGTGTGGGTGAGAGTGTGGGTGTGGGTGAGGGTGAGAGTGTGGGTGAGGGTCTTGAGTAGGTGTGGTGTACCTAGTGGTAAGTTACATGGTATTAGCGAGAAAGCGTGTGTGAAAATATTTCGCGGAGCTGTGTGACTCATTTACGTGAAAGGTCGGGTTAGTGTTAAATAGATCTCAAGAAGGTTTTGTAACAGAAACCCTAATGTCCGATGGATAGGGATGCTGCATTTCGCTGTGTTGGTCGTCTATATGTATGTGTGGAGAAAAACGCTTCTCTGGTGGGTGTGCCTTTACTGGCTGTAATAGCTGATGTCGGCACGTGTTCGACGACGTGTCGTGTGACTCAAGCAAAGTTGAGATCCACTTTCGCGCCGAACGCTATGCCACGCGCTCCCTGGCAGCATGCTGTGTAATTGAGCAACAGGAGAGGCGATCCCGTAGATGGAGGAAGTAGATAGCGAAGGCGGCCGGAGGCCGTCTGAGCGCTCGATTAAAGTGACCGGTAGCGAAGAGGGCCGAAGGCCTTCTGAGCGCTCGTACCCAAAAATCGAATGCTGGGCTACTCGAATAATTGAATACTTGAATACTCGAATAATTGAAAAGTTCGACTATTCAAGTTTAGTACTCGAATACTCGAAGAGATAGTTGAATACTTGAATTCAAGTTTCGAGTTTGACACTACTGTCTCAGCGAGGGTGCTGCGAAGGGTGATGTGAGTTTTATATGCCCTATATGCACTATATGCCCTTAATAAACACAACAGGATTCAGAGGTTATTGCTTTTACTATATATTTGTTACAAATTTCAATCTCCAAGTTTCCCAGGTCTATAGATATGTCGAAAATGAGTTTCCCGGAAAACGCTAGAACGCATCAAATCATAAGTTTCAATTGAAAAGGACATTTCAGTATTAACGGATCCTCAACAGTCATATAGGACTTATAAAATAAATAGATAAACTTATCCTACACATAGCATATAGAATAGACATACACAAGAATAGTTGGTTATAGTTAAATAGTTATAGTTATATAGATATAAATAAACATTGTCATATAAAGTTAGGAATAGGTAAAGGTATACTGGAATGTAATACAAAATATCGGAATGCCGATTTCAAAACGTTCAGTTCGATAATTCAAATATTCTATTTGAGCAGTGGAAATCTTGAGCCCGTGGGTAAAGGGGAGTGTCATCGTGATCGTGTTTCCATATATTTGTGGCTTTGAAAATGTTCGAAAATGAGTCTTCTTGTAGAACCGTATGAAATATAAACGCCTATATATTACTATCCCGAGTAAAGGTAATCAATCGCTCGTGAAAACAGAGAAACCTTTTGTTAACTGATCCTCTAAGAAAGCGAGACACCCGCGATGCACTCATTCACTCGCCTGCAGGGTCAATTTATCGAAATCCCGCAAGGACCCACAATGCGCTCCGAAAGAGCGCGTGGGTCCGAGGAAAAAGTAGGCGCCGCGCAGAGGGCCCGGTACCCTCGAAGGCCCATTATCCTCGAATGCTCGGCGTTTTGAAGGTGTCCTTTCTTCATGTTTGTAGCACAAAGTTTTATTTGAAACTTGAATTGAAAAGTTTCAATTGAAATTTCAATTGAAGATTTCAATTGAAGATATTTTTGCACAAAGTTTCATTTGAAACTTGATTTGAAAAGTTTCAACTGAAATTTCAATTGAAGCGAGAATTTTCAATTGAATTCAAGTTTCAAGTTTGACACTACTGGAAATACCATGCTTTACTGATTCATGCTGCTGAGTAAAACCCAAACAACTCCATTGACTATGCATATGTAAATCAGTTTGCTTTTGTAATATGGACGGAAAATACTATCAATACGCACTTTATGGACATATTCACCGTAAGTATACTTAATTATGAAATAATCCTATGTGATGCAATAATTTCAGATCGCAGTAACTGTCTTCGAATTCGAAATATATGTGTGTTAACATCATCTGTAGTTGATTGCTAGCAAATCTAACACAATTTGCGTCATTATCGCATTAGTCATTGGTCTTAATAAGCTATAGCTATTAAAATTCGGACGTGTGATTTGTAACATTTTACTAGTGTTTTTCATTTTATTTTATGGGTATAGTATCTTATGAAATAGGTTCTATAGAAGAGAGCGTTTTTAAGATGCGCATTATCGACGCTGTGTAGAGGCAGTCTCTATCACGCTGAGTCAACAATAAAATTACAAAATTTTCATTATTTCTATTTGCTGAAGATAAAATGAGTTCGTTCTATTTCAGACACTAAACGTATGATTGTAAATACGCAGAACGCAAAATCAAATAGTAAAGAAAATTTATAGAGAACGAATGAAATGCTATGAGAAAGACACGCTATCACGATGAAACGCAGCATCAGTTACTACATTCGCGATGCAGTAATATGCGTTCTAACTGCATAGAGTAGGTGACTTGAGGATGATGGTGTAAATATTAAGATCAAAACCGATAGTGCTCATTAGGTTGTACTTTGATCTAGTACGATCAAAATTGAACCGAACCTTTAGGCGAATCTACGTCTAAAACTTCGCATGCACCAAAACGATTTATTAGTGCGTAACAATTGTAAATTTTCACGATAAATATCCCTCAAAACCAGCCAAAACTTTGCGCTCATTACAATCAGCTTCTTTGATATAAGATATCTTGGGTACGGTTTCAACCTTTTCTTCAAAGGATTCGCACGCAAGCGTATTCCAAATCCGATCAAGTTTGTTCCCGGTGGAACTGGATGAGCTCTATCTATTCCAAAAAAGTATTCCGGGAAATATCCTTCCTTACTCATCAAAAATGCAAAAAATTGCAAAAACCTTAAAAAAGGGTGTTGGGGGAGGGTGGGTGAGGGTGAGTGGGGGTATCGGGTGTGGGTGGGTGAGGGGGAGTTTGGGGGTTG